CCATCAGAAGAGACCGGGTTATCCGCAACGTGCGCAAATGGATGGCTGCGGTGCAAAGCTTATAAAGCCAGTGGGGCCCTTGTCAGCCTCTGGAACGGCGTGTCGATGGGGGCATTCGAGTCTTCCTCGGCTGCGTCCTGGCACTTAATATATCTATCAACATGGCATATCCATGGATTCAGAATCAACTATTGGTGAAACTGCCCGGAACGGTGCTCGTCTACAAGCGCTACAGCATGATCCTCCTGCCTCAGATATCGCCTTGATGGCTGTGCGTCCTGCACGGATATCACATTGAATTCCATAAAGTCCAAGCTCAAGCTAGATAGAGCTCTCTCCATGTGCAATGACGATGGAGCTGATCATCCTGGTAGGCGGTCGCATGTTTGCTTTTCTTTGCTTCTGAGATACCAGAGGTAGCTACCTACTAGCTGTGCGAATCAATTAATTTATTTTCCATCAATTGGCGCTTCCATGGGGTCCATCCTTAATATTATCATTGATTCAGAAAGAATTTTTAAGTTTCGCTTTTTTTCAGTGTGGATCATGCCCGTGCCGGATTTACTGCTGAGAAAAGAAAGACGAGCGCAAATTGTGAGACAGAGAGATCCTGTGAGTACTCTATATCCATGAGGCCGATATCAGGCAACAATAATATGAATCCTTTTGGTCAATCATATATTAAATGTCTATATACAGCGTCAACCCCGTGGACTCCCACTCTAACAGGATATCCGACTGGAGGCCAAATGAGTATCCACATCGATCAAACCACGACAAAACGCACAGAGCATGCTTGAAACCCGAATGCAATCTATAGGCCACGCTACGGCCCTCAGGAAAACACCTAAAACTTCGGAGTATACTCCGTACCTAGACCAAAGCCGAAAACCTAGGTAACCGGCACGTCAACGCACGTGGTGGCTAGTCTCAGACACACTGACCACGGTGTCAACGGTCCTTCAGACTAAGCCAGAACGAATCAAATAAGAATTGAAATTAGATTAGACTCTCGCGATTGTCGCGACGGATTTTTCGTGTGTCATGAAAAGGAGGTCTTGTGGCGTGGTCTCATCCTGCCAGCAGATCTGTTGACTTTGATGCGGCTCCAGTCCGCGAGGCCACTGTCGCCAATGCTGTCGTCGTGAAAACGCGCTACCGTTGACGACTAGATCACCGCAACGGCTTCTGAGCAATGATGCGGTAACTCGTACTGCAGAGGCGCATGCGATCCATCTTGACAAACGCCTGACCATCCAGACAGAGCCGGTTGATCAGAGTCTTGAAGTGGTGCGGCAGCGCATGCACCTTGACCAAACCCAGGATCACCTGTCGCATGGACCGGAAGTAAAAGTCCACCGTGTCAATCAGCGGCGCCTGCAGTCCGTCCAGGCTGGCATTGTCCGAGCGCAACACCGTGAAGCCGGCATCGGCCAGCGCCCGCTCGAGAATCTCCGGGGTGGGTGTGCCGACTGCGCCGATGAGAGGCTTGACGCGACGCATGAGCTCCGCATGCTCCGGGTTCGACGGGTCGTACGCAGGCAGGCTGACCCAGTCCAGCAGGGAGATCTTTGCGCCGGGCTTGACGACGCGGTAGATCTCGCGGAAGAGGGCCGTCAGGTCCTTGCAGAGACTCAGGGCCTGGATCTGGTAGAAGGCGTCGAAGCTCTCGTCCTCGAACGGCAGCGGCAGCGAGTTGAAATCCTGCACGACGAACTTGTTCTGGAAGCCGCGCTTGTCGTTGAATTTTTGCGCCTGCGCGATCTGGTTGGGATCGATGTTGATGCCGGTGGCCTGCGCGCCGCCGGAGAATTGCGTCATGTGTGCCGCCACCCGCCCGCGGCCGCAACCCAAATCCAGTACCTTGTCGCCGGGCCCGAGCCCGATGTCGCGGGCGATCGACTCCTCGTACAGCAGCTGGTTCTCCAGCACGGTCGCCTTCTTGCTCATGAACGGGGGGATGTACATCTTCTCCACGTCGCCCAGCGCGCACAGGTGGTTCAACACCCCGTAGTACGCTTTGAGGCAGTCGCCGACTTTCTCCTGGTAGCTAGGACCCAATGTCTCAATCATCTGTTTCTCGTCCGACCAGTCGAGGTTATAGATGACATATGACGCCATGAAATCGTCAACTTGCTTTGGCGAGAGGTGTTGCAGGTATCGGAAGGCGGTCCAGAAGGTCTTCCACCGCTTCGGGGAGGCCGAGTTGTGCAGGTCCGGATGGTCTTTATTTGCGGTCGAGGTCGCTGCTGATGCTGATGCTGCTGCTGCTACCTTTTGCTTCTCTTGAGCAATGACGTCCACGGAGCTACTGCTCTCGGAGCTGCGTCCGGACTGGCGCGATGACGCCAGGGCCGGTGCTGGAGTCTGTGTTTCCATCATTGTTCGGGCGGTGATAGCGGACTGAGAAAGAGAAGCTGAATTCAAAGCGGGTGGGATATGCTGAATATCTATTATTATGGAGACATCCTACGCAGACGGGCAAGCATCCCGGTTGAGAGAGCGGGGCTCGCTTTGAATTTATAAGCAGTTAAAGCCCGGTTGAGTCAAAGAGAAATTTTTTTGTTGCAACGGCTTGTTTTCCATGAGGGGCAAGCTATCTACCTAGCTCGGATAACCGCCATATGACCTGCCATGGGTAATCGGGGACCCTAAATGGGTGAGGCGATGGCCGCAGTGGGCTAATTTACTCTTCTTTGTCACCAGATCTGGAAGCTCACGGAAGGGTCGGATGTGGAGGTCCATCCTCCGTAGTAGTGGAAAAAGAAAAATGTGCTGATAATCCAAAAGGACGGGATAAGACGGCAGATGATCCAGAAACGGGCATGAGCATGAGCAATGGCGCTGGGATTATTGTCTCCTCACAGGAACAGACCCCTGCAGATGAGTCAGTGAGCTCGACAGACCGCTGCTTCCCCTCTATCGTGAGGGGTTGCTTGGCAGTACTCCGTAGTCTTCTACTCCATACTCCTATTTACTACTGTCTATGACATAACTCGCAATTGACCCTGCCAAGGCACTCCTCTCAAAACGAAGACCCATCAAGCTCTATGACAGGGCTTAGTCTTTACAGTGGAAGAAGCTATGCACAGAATCGTGTACATAGTCCTCAACCCTACCGGCATGTCTCGGCTCGGGTTCGGCGCGGCGTTTGCTTCTTTGGACATTCTGATTGATGGAAAGGGCTGGACAGCATCTATTTCAGGCTTAGTCTGCGGTGAGGATTACTCCAATAAGGCAATTCGTCCCGATGTCGGACTTTGTCCCGCACACTTGCCCCATTGCTTAGTCAGGCTGGCTGTCATCATCGACTGGATCAGTTGTCAAGACTCCAAATACACCAGAGATATTCAAATATTATTTTACTGTCAAGATATTAGTATCTGGCAACATGCTCTGAGATTATAACAGTCAATTTGATGGTTGACACAGTGCCTTGGTTACATCATCCAGCCCTGCCGATCCCATTATCAAACTGCTGTGATCTTGTGGTTCACTCTCGGACCTCTGACGATCCATACATGTTCTCGTTGTATTCACTCCATTCAGAAAGGATTGTCTGATCAGTCTTAACCTCCGCAATAGAGAGGTACAATATGCTATCTGCGCTAGCCACGTCATTTCGTAGATCAACCCTGTCGTTGACTCACGCCCTATGGCCAGGGTGCGGTACTTTGTATACATTACCGCTTTGTCAGTGCACCGTGTGGAGTCCGTGACTCGAGCGGGGTTACAGTATAGCCCTGGAGGAACAATAGAACATAATGTCCGCTAATTTCAAAAGACCGAAATTATCCATTGATTGTTAAGTAGACGTTACCGAGTAACTGGGTATAATAACTATCAAACAGTCACGTGTCTACAGTATACTGAATAGAATCATTGTGGCAACATGAGCATTACTGTATCCTCTGTATATCAATATATATATAGCCGGCAAGATCCGAAGTTAACCAACGCAGGAACCCAGTCCCAATATCCCGGCACAAACTCAGATAAGCTTAAGCTTAACCAGTACCAGTCTAGACCAGCCCGATCTCCTGACACAGCTTATATATAGCTGACCGGCTCTGTGGCAACCATCTTCTGACAGACGAATCCGAAGGATGAGGACGGCCCACCGAGGCTGCAGGTGGTGTGATGCTTAGGCTGAAGGTAGACGTAACCTGGAGTCGATCTACGGGGAGGGGAGGCCGGTGGCGCTCGGCTGTTAGGTAGCAGCGTTTCCAGGCGGGAGGGTCGGACTATCGGAGAGGTGGCTTATTTAATCGTGGTGTGTTGGTGTGTGAGGTATCGGGTACTTGTACTTGAGTCTATGTGTGTGTCTCATTCTTCGTGGTGTACTGGGTGGACGCCTGGTTGGTGGCCTTCTTGCCTGAGGGTTAGGGTTATGCTCTTTCCGTTTGGGCTTTGCTGTTGCAGAGAAGAAATGATGTATGCGTTAGAGATGTACTGGCTATGGACGTGGTATATTGAGAAGACACAGAAGTCAGGTACCGTACTCGTCTTGAGTACGTCTCTGACGGCTTCATGCTAGTGATATTGGCTTTCTGATGAAAGACCTTGGCAAGAGCAAGAGGACATATCATATGGCACGAACTTAGTATGTATCTGTGACGACGATAGAGCAAGGAACATCTGCAAGAAAGAAAAGTCTGGTTTTCCATAGTATAGCTCAACCATTAACCTAGTTACGACTTACGATAGCCTTGAGAGCACCTGCCGTTAACCATATCTTTGCCAGCTAGGATCTCCACTTGTATCAGTGACCTAATGACTCATCCAGTATGACATCTCACTGCGTTTCTGGATTGAACTAGATTTCCGTGCAATGCCGGAAAGTGGACAGGTACCTATAACCATCCGACATAAGCAAGGAGAGTTCTCATTTGTCAATTTGACTCTGGGTATTTCTAATATAATCTATCCATCACCCTATATAGCCTGAATAATACGCAGATCATATATAAGTCTTTTGATCTAACTCGGTCCACAGTCTATCACCGATTCGACCCTCTAAATCGACAACACAACTCCCCACACAGGCAGACCTTATTCAACTGCTTCCAATAATGATCCGAGTATTCGACCGTGATCTCTCTCCCCGCTACTATACCTCGCGAAACCACAATGATCCGCTCCTGGCCGCGCCAGTAGAATCGCTGGAACTGGCTGTTTGGGCAGCATGAATGGTTGATAAACCGGGTGAAGTTGCCCATCTCGCCCTGGTAGATCTGGTACGTCCTGTCCTTCGTGCCACCTACCATGACATCCACGCCGGAGATACCGTTTGTTATGAGCCCGACGAATTCGCTGATTGCCGCCCCGCGGTCAAAGTTCTGCAACGTTCGTCAGCTGGCGTGCCTGAAACACCTAGAAAGTGAACTTACCACACGCGCCACTACGCCGTTGTTCTTTCCGCTGGCGGTACTGAATATCTGCACCGGGTCACGTCCCTTGACGCCGCCGAAAAGCGCCGGGAAACACGAGCATTGGTTCTGTTCGACGTCGTCCGCCTGTTTGGACTTGCAGACCTGGCAGATATCCGGATCCAGATCGGGTACGCGACGGGGATCTTCTGACCCGAATACTGTCGTATCGAGCACACACTCGTCAATGAAGCGATAATGAAACCCGTTCGGCAGGTTTAGGTGCGCATAGGTTGCGTTCAGGGGTAGTGCAGGCTCTCCCGTCACTGTCACCCATTCGTGGGGATGGCCATGATACTGGCGCCGGGAATCCCCCTGGCCGATGACGTGCAACAGATCCCTCCATTCGGGGTGGAGAGTATCCGCCGCAACTTCCAGACTCGACCGGATATGGCGCAGACGAGTCGAGAAACCCTCTCCGAAGCCGGTGCGGTATTTGCAGAATCGATAGACACCCGAGCTGGCGAAGATCAGGCTGGGCCAGCGCCTGCATCTTTGATTTCCTTGTAGCCGCGCCAGATTGCCCTATTTCGTCAGTGTGTGGTAGGAAAGGAAAAGGTGGATTGAGTACATTCTGTTTCGGAGATCCTTCTCCTTCCAGTTGAGGACTGCACAGGCCTCTTTCAGCGCGGTCATTCGTGCTTCAGTGCTGGACAAATGCGGATTCTCCAGCCGGATGACGGCAATACGTGCTTCATAGCATTCAATCCAGTAGGCCTGGACGATCATCTCCAGGGCGCGAGACGACTGACTCTGGTTGTAGTATTTCATGCATAGAGTGTTGACAGCTCGGAAGACCTTTCTTGTCAGCCAAGTTCTACCCAAGTCGAGCATGGCTCACTCACATCTCCACTGACACCAGTGCGGATGTTAATCGTGGGTTCAACCACCTGTCCGATTAGCAAAGTACATGCAAGTCGATCGGAAACATATAGTAGGAGTTCGGCTCAGCTTCACAGGTGAGTACATCTGTCTCCAGATTCCCGCGATCAACTTATCGGTTGATGTGGGCTCCAGGACCGGCGCGGCGTAATCTTGTCCGGCTTTTCTGCGCTGCGGAAATCCGGTGTCACTATGGACCTGCCGTACTGATACAGAGGCCGTATCTTGATCCTCTATGGAAGAAGTATCGCCACTATGGTCTGGCTCTGGAGACTCTACTGTTGTCCCGTCCGGCTGAAGATGCACGGATGGGCGCAAACCGCTGACCGTCTTATGACGTTTGGGCGGATGCACTTCCTCATTTTGGATTGATCTGGGAGTCAGCGGTGTGTTCTCGTCCGTTTTATCCTCCTAGGAAATCAGTATACAATTTTACCAGTCGAAGATGGTCATACTCGAGGTGGAGTAGCAGTCGGCGTGATTGGCGAATATGGAATCACTTGTCCATTCTTAGGATCAATGGAACCCTAATAATGTAAGAATAAAGTATATAGCCTCGTACGACTCAAAAGATAATTACCAGAAGTACTGAGTCAGGCAGAGCTGAACGAGATGCATCCTTTGTACAGATGGACGCTTCTATGCGCAGGACAAGATGATCTTTGTTCTCGTAGCTCTGGTTTGCTTTATGATTACTCAAAATCGACGCCAGCTGCGACGGAAAATGCTGAGGAGTAGCTTTAAGATAAAGGTAGAGGAGAAGAGGTATGACTGTGGTACGCCCTCTGCCGTGTCTCAATACCCTTCAGCATCTATATTGCCTCATACATTCTCCAGCTTTCTTAGCCAACGGCCCAACGTAAATATCCTCCCACCGGGAGATTTCCGACGAACGTTCGATCATCCTCTGATGATGAGGCCAAGAAATCCCGAGACATAGACTGGCATAAAAGCGCCTCATTCCTCCACCGCAAGACATACCCTAGCACCTCCGTATAGTCCATCTCATGCATCATCTACCCCATCATATCCTCCGACCAGCCTCTAACAAGAGAGAAATCATGGCCGTCATACACATACAAGGGCCGCGAAGGATGGAAGTCATTCCGTGCTCTCAATCTCTCGCGGGGCATGTATAACGACGTGCGTCGTCGGCCGCCCTACTACTGGAGTGATATCACAGATGCCTGGAGATACCGCGTCGTCGCAAGTACTATCCGGATGTACCTTGTCAAGTGGGCTTTTTCTTTACTCTCGCCCGCCAATGATCTGCCTACTGATACGCTATAGCATGCTCCCTGCCATCGCATACACACTGGATATGTACCGCCGCACTGGCGAGTTCTACGGCATCAACGAGGCGCTCTTCTCGTCTGCCATGGCAGCAATGATCTTCAGTGTCTTGGGTGCGCAGCCTTTGACCATCGTCGGAATTACGGGTTTGATCTCGCTGTTCAACTACACCATCTACGATATCGTGACTATCTACGAGCCGGCCGTCTACCCGAATTTCATGTGCTGGACTGCCATCTGGGCGGCGATCTTCCACTGGATCGTGGCTGTCTGTAACTTGTGTGATTATATGCGCTATGTGACAGACTTTTCGTCCGAGTCGTTTGGCGCCCTATGTCGGGATTATCTACTGCAGTGAGTTCACCTGCGGTTATAGGATTTCTATGGTACTGACAATCGTAGTCAAAGGAGTCGAGGAACTAGTAACCGAGTTTACCACGCGCGGCAACACCGCCGGGTTCATGAGCACTATGGTTGCCATCCTGTACTTTCTCACCATCTACGGCCTGGAACGGCTCGGCTCCAGCACCATCTGGAAACCGTGGTTCGGGGGTTTACTGGCCGACTACGCATATGTGGTGTGTATTCCTGGTTCACCAGACGTCAAATCACTCACATCGTACAGATCGGGACCATCTTCTGGGTAGGATTCTCACATATACCCGGTAACCTCAAAGCAACCCACGTCTCATTCGTCCCCATCACCCGGGCGTTCTACCCTACCCAGCCGCGCGGCTGGCTCATCCATTTCTGGGAGCTCGATGCCAAATGGGTATTCGCCGCACTGCCCTTTGGGTTCCTGGTGATGCTCCTCTTCTACTACGACCACGTATGCCTCCTCACTTCTCTTAAAACAAACAGCACTAACCCAGAAAAGAACGTAAGCAGCCTAACCGCCCAAGCAAGACGATTCCCCCTTAAGAAACCTGCCCGTTTCCACTGGGACTTCTTCCTCCTGGGCTGCACCACCTTCCTAGCAGGCATCACCGGCATCCCATTGCCAAACGGCCTAGTGCCCCAGGTAAGCCCTACCCCTTTCTCTCAGTTCTAGCTGATCGATATCCAGGCCCCCGTACACACCGACTCCCTAACCATCTACAAAACCTCCCTCCGCACCATCTCCACCTCCGAAGGCGAGGGCGCCGAAATCCGCCGCCCAATCGTAACCGCCACCGCCGTCGTCGAGCAACGCATCTCCCACTTCCTCATGGGCCTGCTCATCATCGGCACCATGACCCGCCCGCTGCTGATCGTCCTGCACACGATGCCCGCCGCCGTCTTCGCAGGCGTCTTCTTCACCGTCGGCTGGGGCTCCATCGAGTCGAACGGCATCCTCCAGAAACTCATCTTCCTGGCGCGCGAGAACCGCTTCATCCAGCGCGATGAGCCGCTGTTGACTGTGCGACGGCGCAAGGTCGCGCTGTATATCGCCTGCCAGGTGGTGGGCGTTGCGGCGACGGTGGCCATCTCGCAGACGATTGCGGCGATTGGGTTCCCGATTCTGATCATTGCGTTGATTCCGTTTCGGGTGTGGGTTATGCCGAGGAGCTGGATGTCATGGATGATTTGACCGCGAATAATAGTGCGGTGTTGGCGAGTCTGGGGGGTCCGCCGAGGTTTCCGGGACAGCCTGATAATGAGAGGTTTGGGCTGGAGCGGCGCTATTCGGAGCAGAGGTTTGGGTCGACTAGGAGGGCGGGAAGTATCCATCGTTAGCGGTTGGGATGTATTGCTAGAGATGGCGCAAGAGAGAAATAGCGTGTGTTGGGGCGTAAAAGTTAGAACACTCAAGTACTAGAACGATCTGTGTGAATAAGAACAACAACATGAACTTTTGCCTTCAGTAACCTACATCGCATTATTCACCTCTTCAAGGATGTTTACGATAAGCCAGTAGAAATCTCCCAATGGCCAGGAGACCATTTGCGAGTGCAAGTTTCGCCGCTCTTTTTCTCGTGATCTCAAATTCTTCGGTATCAGGGTGATAGTTCAACAGGAGATGTAGAATGAGAGGCCTGCCGTTCCCTACAGCGGCTTCAATGGCGTTTAATCCCTGCTCAATGGCAGGCGCCCCATTGACATCTGCCCCGGCCAGAAGGAGCATCATCACAATGCAATAGTTGCCGTGCATCGCGGCCCCTTGCAAGGCGACACCACCCAAATGTGCTGCTAGAGCATTGATATCGGCTCCATGAGCCAGTATATATTCAGAGAGCTGCACATAACCCGAGCTTGCAGCCTCTTGGAGAGCCGTCCGGCCTCGGACTGGACTGGGCGAGCCATTGACATCAGCCCCATGATGCACCAGGAGCTCCGTCATAACTTGATGGTTCTGTGATACTGCTCTTTGCAGCGCAGTCTTCCCTCCATTCTTGTTTGCTGGTGCATTGACGTCGGCGCCTCTTTCGAGCAGTAACAGGACGGTGTCGATATTTTGCGTAGAAACGGCGGCCTGAAGGGCCGTGACATTGCCAGGCAAGCTGCTTTCCCAGTGGTGGTTTATGTTGGCCCCTGCAGAAAGCAGACACTCCACCACTCTAAAGTTGTGTCATTCTACTGTAATTTGAAGAAATGGCTCCTTCGACTGAGGGCATGGGTTAATGTTAACGGCTGCTCCTCCCTTGAGCAGCAGCTCCAGCAAAGGCACGTCGCATTTCCAGCAGTTCAGAGCTAGCCCTATAACTTGACTCTTCGTGATGGGCTCAGCTGATATGATGTCAGGTTCTTCATCGAGGAAAAGTTGTAGCTCTTGATTGCATGTCTTGGCGGCAGCTTCCATCACCGAGATCCCGTCAAATTTAGCTCTGTCTGACTTGATCTTCGCGCTATGCTTCAGTAGCATCTTCACCATATACACATGGCCGTTTTCAACCGCTGCCTGCAAGGCAGGACAGCACGTTGCAGAGGCGTGACTAGGGCACAGCCTTGCGGTGGATTAACGTCACTCCAAATTGGTGTAAGAGGTCCACAAAATCAAGTGCTTCGGACATATCGTATGCCGTGTGTAGTGGTGTCAGCTCATCCACTGCTAAATTGGGGTTTGCACCTGCCTCCAGCAGCGTCCTCGCACACTCCACGTTATTCTCCCAGAGTGCTCGGTGAAGAGCTGTTTCTCGCATACCCATCCCACTAGGTGCATCTAGATCCGCTCCAGCCTCGATAAGGATTCGACAGATCTCAATGTCTCCCACGGCCGCTGCACTAGCTAATAGGTTACCCATGATTATCTCGATTGTCCTGGTTGTTGATTTCAAGAGGGCTTTAAGTCTTGACTGAAAGCCACTTTTCTTGATAAGAAATACCAGACCGTACGTTGACGTCTGGCTCATCATGTTATTAGACGACAGGTAGACGCAGAGACTGAGATAGTGAGACATATTCTCCGGGGAAGGCGATTGAAATATCGCCTCGGCTCGTCTTGTCAAGTCGCGGTTGGCATCCTCTACGGTAATATGCTCCAGGACTGAAATTGGATCGTTGGGAGTAGGAGCTCTGTACGGATCGGTCTGCTCTAAGGGTGTCCAGCGGGTCTCTTCAGCAATGGCGTTGCCGATGGAATCAACGTCTTCCTGGATATGTGTGCTCGTCGTTATAGATATTGGTGTACTAGCAGACATTGACACAGGCAGACGATGGTCCAAGGTAGCATGCCTGAGATAGGAAGGAGCTGCGGAAGGAGTTGCGGTGGGTGCCACATTCCCTTGGAAAGAAAACTGCGAATATCTCGGCTCCGGGACCTCAATGCGGGAGGCGTGAGGGTCCCGATCGGTGGATTGGAACATTGTTGAAGTTCCAACATCGATATCATCAACGCTCACGCCCTGGCCCCAGTCCGTCGCAAGGACGACCGCGGAATCGTCGGACACAGTACCGTCTATTTCTAACCGGGGCGTACCCACGACGACCCCTTCAGGAGTCTTGGGGTCTGAGATGATGAACAGGTCAGCATATCGACGAGGTGAGTGCGAAGCAGGATAGAGAAGCGAGCCATATATAGATACGCACCAGAGCCTCCCATCCCCAAACACTGCGACAATAATGAAACATGACGAGCTGTTTCCTTTCTGACCTTTGGTTCAGGGATGAGGTTGCCGTGCACCCTGACGTCACCCGGGTCTTTTCCGTCTCGTTTCCGCTTCTCGCGACGATGCGCAACGAATTTCCAGTCTTCGTCGGTCAAGTTCTTTTTGAAGCCCCATTTCTTGAACTGCCGGGTGTACTGAGGTGCGCTGAGACGTTCTCTCAGCCAGGACTGAACGACTTTCGAGGGGTATAACCAACTGACCTTTTGCGGAAACTGTGCCTCTGGGACATATGCTCTTGGATCTGCTCTAAAGTCCGTCGCTGATCCAGCCACAAGGCCTTGAGCTCGTCGCGGTGAGTCTGCCATTCGGTCTCTTCTTCCTTGGTTCGAGCCATGAATCCATTTTTCGTTGTTTGTCTGATGACTCTTTTTCTTCGAGTTGGGCTGCCCATGGCTCGTTTATATCCTTCCATCTCCAGGGGTGTAGACAGCGCCATACGAAAGAGAAGAATTTCCTTGCTGAATTGATGAATTCTCATTGGATCGTACCAGAAGATACAGATTATGTTTCTGAGGCTCACAGCCTTGTCCAATAGATAATGGCTTGGGCTGTGTATATTCTGGTCTCGACAAATGACAGCAGGCAACGTCGCGCCAGACTAAGCTTACCTGATCCCTGACACGGGGCGTTATACATCCAAGTTTTCCATTATTTCTTTTTACCCCGTAATTTCCTCGTCTTTTCTTTCCTTTTTCCCCCAGCCACACCGCCAGTCCGCAATTCTGGTAATCCTCCAAAGGTACTTCGTGCGTTGCCCCTTAATTATTCTCTTCATGTCTTTCGCGACAAGACCTGGGTTGCCAAAATTATCTCTAGGCAACGCAAGGGTAGCGGCCCCGGGACAAACCTGATACGTCGCAAGCCTTCCGCGGGATAGAATACAAGTGTCTAGGTTGAGAGCAGTTGCAGCTCAAAATCCCAGTTCCATGGTCTCTGAAATATGCTTTGCTTTGCCAACATTGTATACTGTCGTGTTCCTCCATTTGCACCATCCCATGCCGGGTCTTGGTGCTTTCAAGGGCACGCGACGCCTGTAGAGCTTCTGAATGATTGCAAGTGATCTTTAAATTCGGACGAAAGAGCTCTTTGGGTACCGTTAGAAGGTATCTACAGTGGAAACGGAGTTTGAATCGCCAGGTCAAGCCTGGAATGACCTAGGCATGCAGTACAGCCTCAAGTTCTCGGCTCATCCTTGTGTGAAACGAGGAAACTACTACGCTAGCTCTGTCTATTAAGTACTTAGCTAGTTCGTAGTTAGTCAGGGAGTTGAGAGCTTGCTCAGCTGCTATTGATTTATAACCAGAATTTCAGTCTAAGTATCCTAGGTGTTACCTAGGTACTTTTAGTGCCTCCTCCTAGGAAGCGCTAGCTGCTAGATCCTCCAATGGCCAAGCTATCTGATTGGTGTTTACCATAATCAGTATTGTCAAGCTTCAGCACCGGATGGATTTGGCATCTACAGTCTACACTCAATGCTTTCATGCCACTTATTATGGAGGATGAAAGAGATAAAAGGCTCTCTCCTTTCACCTCACCATGGCTTTCCTTCTGGACACAATCAACGACTTCCATTGCCGGTCTGTCTTCTGCGAATAGACCAAAGAATGGGCTGGTCAGTGGAGGCCATTATTGCACTTGTCACTCTACTTGTCACTGGCCCTGCATCCCTTCTTCTACTCTGGAATCATTTCATAAACCGCAATAGACCGTTTTTAAGAGGTGAGTGCTTTATTTACCTACTACAAGAGTGGAATAAGGAAAGAAAGTTACCCTAAATCCTCATCTAGACCAACCACAGACTCGAGTCATGCTCCCGTGGACGCTGACACGAATGAATACCGAGTATAACCAGCGAACTCTGGAGGATGGCCTTGGTACCTACCATGTTCCTACAGGTCAGTACTGTGATCTTACTAGAGCTGATTTGAGCTTTTGTACTGCCTGTTCTCGCGGCTAATGATCTTCAATCTTGAGCTGCGCAGAGATATCTATCCGCCAAAGAGCAGTTACAGAGGTTCAGGTGTCGTATAGATTGGCCGATGACTAGTTGCCTGGAAGCCGCCCGAAAAGGGTGACGGAGCTGGTGCAAGCGAGAATTGGTATAGACACCGTCAGAGTCGGGATGAATGATAATATCAAAAGCCTATATTGTATCAAGAGCGTGTATATTACCATATATGAGTGACTTTCCTTTCTGCTACCCGCTTATTCCGCAAACTTCGTGGTAGACCGGAGTCCCCATGTATTGACTGCAGACTTCCTGCATCCACTGAACCCATATTTCAACTGGCAATAACCCTGCCTCTCGATGTATCAGTCAATCGGCAGCAGACTCGCCAGATCAAAATCCACCTCTTGGCCTCGAGCCTCCAACTCTAAATACCCCGGTGCACTCTGCTCAATAATACCAGACCACACCTCACGACTCCCATACCCCTCACAAAGAAACTCACCTCGTTGTCTGGCTGCTTCCAAAATATCAAGAATGGGCAGGTCCATATCCAAACTATAACCAGAAAATCAGTACAAACACATGACTGAACCAATGGCATAACATACGGTTGATTGTAACCCTCATGACCACCAATACCCGACTGAGCGAGCTCAGACACACTACGACCTAGAATCTGCCCGAAGGACATCACCTGCTCCATATTCCATGGCCGACGAAGGGTAGATGCCTTGATATCGCCATTAGAAGCGTACTCCACCAGCGCCATCCGACCAGTCTCCAATCCTGTCTGGTCAATCACGAACCAAGTGTATCCAGCCCCGTTCGCGAACACGACCGTCCCAGACCGTGTCATGGAAATCACATTGAAATCCGCAGTCTCCAGGAACAGCGCCGGGAGAACGTGCGCTAGACTAAGTGAGTCGCTATGCGCAGACAGACCCGTGGTCGGATTAAGGGAGATGAGAGCCGAATATGGCATCCGGGGGCTTGTCCAGCACCCGCCAGATCAAAGGGGTGGACGCCGTTCCACCCGTCCTGGTGGACGTAGAGCAGGATCAGGAACTTGAGGAGACGGGTGTAGTTGCGCGGATGCGTCTGGCGGTGTACTAGAGCGAGACACACGAACCGCTTGTCGGGTTGAGGTTCTTGTGCCAGTGCAGACGCTGGGCTGGGTAGTCTAATGCTGAGGATGGCGATGGGGCACGAAGCTGGTAGGACTGCGAATGTGTTAATTCATTCAGATGCGAGTGGCAGTTCACGCACTGACGCCTCGAAGGTCCTGACTGGCTGCTGCCCATTTCTCTACCAGAAGGCTTCGTTGACGTACTTTGTCCTCAGCGTTGGATGTTGGGCGCCATTCTTCCTAGAGGGATGTGTATACGTAAGTTATTGATAGATGGATAGATGACTTGCATGCATACTCTTACGAATAGCAGCCACCTCTTGGTCTCTTCTTAAAGGTCTGACGGGCATAGCTTGCTTGGTTGGATGAAGATGGATGGTCGCTGGGATCCCGCCAGGCCAATATGATTGCCATGTCGGATGCCACATTTGCTCGCTTGTGAAGGAATTGATTATTTCTACGGAGTAGAACCCGAAACTGTTTGAAAAGGAAAAGAGAGGAAAGTCCGTAAGCTAACTAGTCCGGACGTTGAGGGCCAAAACTAGGGCTAAATAGACCCCCACTTTAGGTCCGATGGTGCTAACATGTTGAGAGCAGGAGATATTTTCTGGATCCGCCTCTGTAGTGATGATATTTATGAAGCTTTATCAAGGTCATCCGGGTGAATTGCTTCAAGATCAGCAGACAAGCTAACAGCGTCACCCAATAGTCTCTGCCTAAGTGATTCAAGAAAAAAAGTTAAGGATTGTGTTGCTGAGCATGAGCTTTGATGTAACGATGCCACAAGTCAATTAGTTCGCAACTTCTATCATATTATGAATACTATCAAAGTATATACCTCGAACAATCACATCAAGTCTCAAAATCCTCCCGGGTGATTCCACTCTGATCGCACATACTGCGGAAGATGCCGCCCGGCTTCTCCCACAGCGCCAGAGGGGTGTCGAATTCGGCGATCTGTCCTTGATCCATCACACAGATGCGATCATAATTGATGATTGTCCGTAGACGATGAGCAATACAAAGCAGCGTCTTGCCTTGAAATCCTTGCGCCATCGTCTCCTGGACTTTCTGGTCCGTCTCAAAGTCAACGGATGAGGTCGCCTCGTCACAAATGATGATGCGGGCATCGCGAACGAGAGCACGCGCCAGAGCCATCAGCTGCCGTTGGCCGAGTGAGAAGTTGTGTCCCTCCTCTTCGACGATGGTATCAAGGTGCAGTCGCTGCACCGTCTGCTGCTTTTCGTTCATCGATGATGGCGTAAGTGTGCCCTCCTGGGACTCGTCCTCTGGCAGCTCCTGGCCAACGAGATGTGCCTTGCGTAACGCTGCCCATAATTCCAGATCTGTATGCTCATCGAACGGATCCAGGTTTGAGCGGATCGTGCCGCGGAAGAGCGTCGGATCCTGCGGGATAATAGCAAGACGAGTGCGAAGATCATGCAGCCCAACTGTCGCAATGTCAATGTCATCGACCTTGATACTTCCTCCGGAAAGCTCGGTGAGACGAAATAGCGCGGCCATGATGCTGGATTTGCCGGCACCTGTTCGCCCAACAATGCCAATACGCTCCCCGCCTCGAATGTCCATCGTGAGCCCCTTGAGCACCAAAGGCAGCTCGTCACGGTACCGCATTTGCACGTTCGAGAACGTAATTCTTCCCTTTTCGGGCCAGCTCGGTGGTACCTCGACCAACTGAAGGGGCGCTTCCTCGTCCAAGCTGGTGCCATAGTAATGGACCCGCTCAGCGGCATTCATATTATTCCCAACTTCAGCGAACTGCCGGATGGTGAATTGCAAACTCAAAGTGATGTTCAAAACGTATGACAGAACCAAACCGGAGATACTTGGCCCGACGTTGAAACGAGAGGTGACGACCAGAATCCCCACCACCAGGATCATTAGACTGCCGATAGCGTCAAGGCGAATCGAGAGCCATCTCTGGTTGGAGAAAGTCAGGAAATATGCACCATTCATTGAGTCGATGCTTTCATGCAGATTCCGCTGAAAGTACCCTTCCATTCTATACGCTTGGATGCTTGCGATACCGGTGATGGCCTCGCCAAAACGTGAAAACACCGTCGAGCGAAGCACTGAATCATGCCGCTTCAGGTTCCGCGCAGAAGCTCTATAGTAGGCCGCTGCGAGTAAGAACAAGACGAACAGGGGACCTAATGCAATGGCAAACTGGTCATGGTGGTTAGCAACTTCAGTCCACGCACCTCACCCTCTGGTACTCACATAATGATAAAATGCGATGATCAACCCCATTGTGGCAAGGATCTGAGTGAACGTGAAGGCAAACATGCGAATAGATTCGCCAAGTTCACTGTCCATCACCTGGACATCCCTAGAAAACCGGTTCGTGATCCGTCCTAACGGGGTTGTGTCAAAGAAGGCCATCGGGGCTCGCAGGACTCGGTATATTGCGCGCTGCAGCATTGTCTTGCTAGAATGCGCTGCGGAAATGGTCACATGTAGTGCGAAGCCGTACATGGCCAAAGCCTGTGCTGCACAGATTCCCGCATATATTCCCATATACTGGCCAGCGGTCAGGTTTGGAAACTTGTCGGACGTCCAATAAGAGATCCACAGGCCGGTCATAATTAGACCACCGTTGAGACAGGCCAGCAGCACAAAAAAGGCAATGAAGTTGAGGAAGAAGGATCCAGAGGCGGTGATATAAGCTTTCCAAACAGTCCACCCAACTGACCCCGTCGCTACCTCTTCCTTTGACATCAAAGCAGCTGCTGGTTTAGCCTTGTCAATTTGGTCTTTCGCCGGTTCGGCTTTGTCCGAATTTTGGTCGACATCGTCATCCGATTGCTTTTCCTGTTGCGAAGTGCTTGACATCAATTCCCTAAAGTGTTCATTTGTTCGTACAAGGTCATCAAAGGTACCAATAGCGTCGATGGAGCCTTCCTTCATCACAATAATTCGATCACACCGGCTAAGGACATGAAGCTGATGGGTTGCCAAGACACGACACTTATCCTTGAGAAGACCGCAGATTGCTTTGTCCATGATATGACGTCCAACATGGGCATCAACTGCTGAAAGCGGGTCATCCATAAGAACGATATCTGCCTTGGAGTAGACGGCTCTGGCGATATTGACCCGCTGCTTCTGGCCTCCAGAGACCGTGATGCCTCGTTCCCCAATCTCCGTCTGATCCCCGTTCGGGAAAATATCCAGATCGGGTCGTAGAGCGCATGCGTCAATCACGCGGTCGTAGAATTCTTCGTCGTAATCACTTCCAAAGAGGATATTCTCTCGCACTGACACATTCTGGATCCAGGCGTATTGCGGGCAGAACGATCGAGTCGCACCCATTCGGATTTTACCCTCCGTCAAGCGCATGTCACCCGCCAGAGCCGCGAGCAACGAACTCTTGCCACTCCCTACTGTTCCTATCACAGCAAGCAGTTCATTGCGTCCCGCCTCGAGGTTGATATCGGTGAGTTTGAACGGCGCATGCTCAGTTGTGTCACTGTTGCCGTCGGGCGGGCTGCTGGGCGGGCTGCTGGGCGTTGTTGCGCCTTTCGGCGAAACCTGGTTACGTTTCGGCTTCTCTTCCTTCTTCTCCTCTCCCTTGTTGCTCTGCACTTGTTCCCAGGTGAATGATGCATGCTCGACCTCAATAGCCTTGTCCATGGTTGTGTCCCATTCGACCGGGTCAGACTTTTCCTCGGCCTGAAGGAACTCCTGGATTCGGTTCATAGCAGTCCAAGCATCGGTCATCTGTGTGATAGTCAGGTTGAGCATGATGAGTGGCAAGCGAAGCACATTGAACAATGCCAAGGACGCAAAAATGCGAGCCGGGGACATGCCATGATCCGACAGAGCGTAGGTGACAAAAGACAGCAGCGATGCGAATGTTGGTAAAGAGACCATGCACACTACAACAGCGTGTCGGACAAACAAGAGTCTTTTGATGGAGCCGATCTCGCGGTTGCGAACGGCCTCGAGTCGCTTTAGGAAGCTGCTTTCCCAGCCAAAGAACTTCACGAACCTGACACTATATAATATTTCTCGGGTCAAAGTAACTCGCTGATCGGTGATTTTATTGATGGCCCTTCGAAAATGCACCAGGAGGCGCATCGCCCACGCCAGAGCGAAGACTCCGACAACCAGGAGGGCGTACCCGGCAAGTGCACTGTAGCCGATGTTGACAATCAGTATGATCAGAGCAACGACAAGACCGATGGGTGAAACCCAAAGCATATGAAGCATGCCGCAGGCTGTATCGATACGATCCACATCCACGCCCAACAACGTGGTGATACGTCCATTACTCCAGCCGGCAGTCTCTTTCGCCGCATCGTTTGCTGCTGCTTTAGACGGACTTCCTTCGGTGGGTTTCTGTCCTGCGTCATCGATGGGCTTCCCGCCAGCTCTCGCACGATTTGACAGCCTCATCGCTTTGGCGAAGATTTGAGATGTCAGGCCCGCTTTGGCCATTCCTCCGACAACCATCCCTCGATATAACGCCTGATTCATAGTCAAACTCTGCAGCACCTGCATGGCATAAAGGCCAAAGGCGTAACCCAAGCCCGGTCCAATGTGTGGCCCAGGTGTTTTGCGAATATGGGCTGCGTATGCTTCGGTCGAGAAAGTGATAAGGTGCCTGACAACATATGGCGATAGAATCATGCACATCATGCCAACAAGTTGGCATATACCACCAACCACAAGGTCATGTCTTAGGGTGTCGATAAGAGCCCGCGCCAGAGGTCTCTTGCTCCCTTGCTCGATTCGTTTCCTAAAAGCCACAGCAAGCTTGTCCGACAAGGTATCCACTGCTCTGTCCGGGTTGACGGTCCATATATCCTTGGGTTCCAATGGTCGGAGATAACCCACCTATTCGATTCTGTAAACATGCTGACTTTCTAGGTTTCGAGATTTCTAGACTGACCTTCATAAAGGGGGTCATCCACTCAAAGAAGATGCGACTAAGGATATTCGCCCCATATTCCCGAGTCACTTGTCTCTCACTGGGAACAGGAGGTACCTTTTGCAGTCGCAAAGGGTTCAGCTTGCGCCATTTGGACAGCTGTGGTTGGGGAGTAACTTGGTCCTTCGTTCCCGCTGCCTGATTCTGTTCAAGCGGCAATTTCTCCTGAGGTACTACCACCTCCAATGGAGGTTGAGGAGTCTTGCTCATCTCGTTGTGGTTTTACGGGATTGTTGATGAATCAGCCTGAAATAACATTATCATGTATCGAAAGCCCGCGTAGTGTGCGTGTAGAGCGTCCCCGGCGTAGATGATAAGAAGCAGCAAGCTTCGTATTCTCTCTGCTACCCAATGCTCTGCGAAGTTCGTCAAATTAGCGAGCCATTACAACTGTGC